CTCCCTAATAGGCATTTAGAACAAAACAATGTTTCTCTCCTGCAGGGTTTTATTTGGCCTTTAGATTAAACAACGCTCTAGGTTAGTAATCCGGTTTGCCAGACAGTTGTCACGGGAGCGCCAGCAGCCACTTTGTTTTCCCTCAACACTGCTCTGTGAGGTGGTGATAGTGTTAAACAGACTACGACTGATGGGAAACGTAGAAAGATGAAGCAAAAATGTCCTAAAAAAAACTTTTTTTCAAAGGAAAAGACGTCTATTGAAAAACCACACACAAGAAGTATTCAGTGTAAACACTAGTAAACCATATGTATTACCCCAAGAAATGCTAAAAGCCTACCCTGGTAAAGCAAGAACAAGGACATTTGTGATTTAGTTCACATTTTTCATGCAAAAATTGGGATGCATGCTTATACATGTGGCCTTTTTTAAAATTCAAGTCAACAGCGAGAACAATTGGAACTAAACAAGCACAGTCCTGATGAAAACTCTGCTTTGAAAAAAAAAAAAAAAAGCATAAACAGGTAGGATCTGGCTACTGCAATTCTTACTAAGGTTTAAACACATGATTCGTCCAGTGTAAATCATGGGAAACTTGTACATATGGATAAACTGTGAGATGGCAGACAAACTGATTTTTACTTTATCCATTCCTGTTCAGAGGTAGAAAGGCCAAAAGGATGTGCATGATGGCTGCAGCTGGAATGCCCAGCCTTGGCCTTCTCCCAGCACATGGMGTTTGGTTGTTTGACCTCTTTAATCAGAAAGCACCCTGAAAAATCTCCACTTTGTCCTGAACATCCCTGTTTACCTCCTTTACTGAACATTCAGTTCATAAACCAGACCCATTTGTGGGAAAACAGTCTGCTGTCCTTCGGCTCTCACAAACTTGGCTGATTACAATTAAAGCAAATTTGCTATGGGTTTTGTCTTGTTTAGCTGTTTTTGTGTGATTTTTACTACAATTAAAACATTTGGCCTAAGGATCAGAGAGTAATTAATAACTACACCAATATTGATTTGTAATATCTCTGAAAGAAATGTTAACAGATTTTTCCTCTGGCAGCCATAAAAATAAACCCAAAACCTGTGTAGTAAAGACAGGCAGAGGATTACATTTTCCAGTTGTATGGATGCTATATTCTATCATCCACTACAGCCACAGAACTATATTCAGAAGGTGAAAAATTACACATGTTTGATTGCTCCAGGATTTAGTAGCTGAAAATAACATGTCTTTGAGAATATACTGCATCATGAGTATGTCTTTTTAAAAAACCTACTGGAATATGTTGGGTGTAATAAGGAACACATGTAACTCCTAGTTCAGATGAGGAAAAAAATAAGGAAAGAAAAAATGTTTTCCTTTAGCAGTGTGTGATTCAATTAACTCTTTAAGCTCTTTTTGCAATTCTTTAAAACATAATTATTTTCCAGAAAACAGTAAAAATAGTAGCTCCAAAGGCAAAATGAAGTCTTATGMGATTTCTGTTATCAGAAATGCATCAAGTACTAATAAACATCTATGTATCTAACCAGCTTTTTTGAAACACATGGAACACCACAGAGTTTGCAGCAAGCAAAACCTGAAAGACGGTAGGTCTATTTTATTTTGGAGTTTAAATGAGATAAGTTTAATTTGTTTTGTCAGATCTAGCATTTGACAATTTATTTTATTCCAGGAGGAGAGTTCTAATGATTCTATACTCTTTCTTTAATATCCTGTAGATATATAGATGTGCAGATATATGTGGACTATATGCAAAGTCACCAGAGTGCCCTGAATTTCTCCTTTTCTTGTGACACAACTTTGTAATTTTCTACCTGACCACTCTATGCTGCTGATGCTGCTCTGTAAAAGCTGGAGTTTTCATGAGCCCTTTTGGTAACACTGCAGCCTGACATGAGCCTAAGCACCACCTGCACCTTATTTATCTCCTTGTTTATGGAAGAGTTTCCCCCTCATTGTGTGGATAACTGACCTTAGCCATAGCTAATAAGACATGAGCTTCCTTGAACTATGCCGCTTTACACTGAATCTTATAAAATACTTCAGTGTTATCCCCCTGTAGCTTCACTGAGCTCCTAATGAGCTGAAACACATTCTCTCTCCAGCGCTGTCACCACAGACAAGGTGTGGTCCAAGAAACAAAAATAACCTGGCCCAAACTTTGCTTYGGCCATCTGTTTCTGTAGACAAGCTTCTTCCTGGCTACTAACAGGTTTTTATAAAGTAGAAAATCAAGCAACATATAGATATTTATGCTCCACCCTACCCATCATCTCATCTGACTGCCCCAACCATGCAGTGACAAGAATGGCTTGCTTGCTGCAGGCTGCTTCAGCAGCCTATCCTGGGCACAGCTGTGTTTCCAGATGTGAGTCTAGTTAGTCAGAGACCTCTGGAACTCCCTCTCTCCTCGACATTAAGCCTTGAAACAGGTTGGGATCTACACAGTCAGCACTGAAGAAAATAGTTTTACTTAACATGAACTCCCTGTTCAGTCAGACTGGTTCCAGTAAATCAGATGATGTTCTTATCAAGCTATTCCAGACATGTCTAACTTTTTTGGTTGAGGTTTTTTTCTACTTTTTTTTTCCTGTAATACACAACTGAAAACAGGAACTGGCAYAAAAGCAGTGGTGCCAGCTAAACTGACTTGTAGGGGGACATTTTTCACAAGTTACACTATCATGTTGTTGAAACAAGTGACTGGAATGGGCATGAAGCCCCCACAGTTTCTGCTTGACATCTTTTTTTTCTTTTACTTAAGAATATTACTTCTATCCCAGTTGATATAAATAACAATAATTAAATAACAGCTAATTTACACTGGTTTATAGCTGAGGGGGATCAAGATTGTTTCTGTTTATTTGCAGGTAGCATTTGATGATTTAGGATTCTGTCAAAAAGCTAATGCTTACAACTAATTTCAAAATGAACCAGTTGAACCAGTACAGTGCTAGAGCTCAAGTGTCAACTACATATATACATGAAATATAATAAATCCTAAAGCACTACTTCAAAATCCAGCTAATTCGTCTAATTTGTGGGTTGGTACATACATAAGTAATATAATCACCTTAATCATTCCAAAGAAGCATAGGGTGAGCTTCATTTTGTGTTTTTCTTTTTCCCCAACAGCACTACACTAGTTGTTCCTGCTGATGTTCCAAGCAGAGCATTCCAAAGAGTCACTCGTGCAGGAAAACAGTTGAGCTAAACTCAAGTTGCCAGCTCTTTTCTAATTTTAAGTTTAGCTTTCCCGTTCTGAAGCAAGCATTCCTTTCCAATACTAGTTAAAAGAGCTTATCTAATTTAACTTCCATTTTTTCCTTAAACATCTGGGAAATTTCATTTCTCTAATCAGTTTCTTACTTTCCTCCACTAATTACAATCTTGTTTTTTTCTACGTATATCATTTCCTGTGTGATAATTTTTTCATCATTGGGTTTCTTGCTCTTTATATATTTCCTAGATGCTGGTGTTCAGACTCGGAAAATGCAGCTTATTTATGTTGTCCCCGTTCTCCTTCAAATACTCAGCAAAAATATGCCTCAAGAATGTTATTTGCCTCTGTGTATATCTGAATATTTAGCACAGCTTCCTAAATGCCACAATTTATTGCCCTAATAGCTCCATCATCAGYAAATTGTAGGATTTTAATTTACTCTACCATGATGAGACGCCCTTCAGAGAACTTGGCCACCAGCTGTTCCTGTGCTCAAGGAGGCCAAAGTCACACGCAAAACAATGACGCTGTCAGACAAACGCCACATCTCCCTTTCACTTTCCCCTTTCCCTGCCTCTTCCTTTCTCTTTCTCCTTCGCCTGAAGCCATATCCCACTCCCAAAATTAAAAGCTTTCTATGGCTCATGAAAAGTTATCCCATAGAACTACATTGCTGCAGGGGCCCAGCCTTCAAATTTGGAATACTTTTCAGTTTTTATCTGTATTTTCATTCTCGTGTYACCACAATCCCTTTCATATAGCTTAGGGGCTATCTCATACATGACAGGCTAAAATCTGGACATGGTAAGCTCTCTTTCACCAAGACAGACACTGTAGCCACATCATGTGCATACTGAATTCCATTCTACAAGCAAAGCAGGATTTTTTAAATGCTATTAATTTAAGTAACAGCACATAGCTTAGGAAAAGTTATTAAATGCTGTATAAAGACTTTCTAGTTTCAGCYGTACTAAACTATCATTTAAAAGATTTTACACAACTCTTACAATAAGTTAAATAGGAAAGGCTACATTGGAAAAAATAAATGTTTATCACACCTATTTATTAGTATCAAAGGCACAAATTTGAAAGTTTTCCCAAGATAAGGCTTAGAGGTTTTTTTAAATTACCAAAATTATGAAATTATATTCAGCCGACTACTGGTTTCATTTGCATTTCTCTGTATAAACACAGTGGTATGTTTACCAAACATCTATTTCCTTCTAACCCCAGATCATAGATTTTTGAAACCCCACCAAAAAAAAACCCCAGTTTTTTGATGAACAGAAATATGTTCACTATATCAAAACAAATAATTCATTCACATGGTGTGAAAACTGAAATCTAATAACTCTGAATGAAAAAGCTCTGCAACATAAAAGCTCCTGTAAATCTCCACAATATGTCCAAGCACAACTAAAAACAGACTTACRTAATATATTAGCTTGCACTGCAATTGCAAAGGACTCTTCAGGTTTTGCAATCAGTTCTCACACTTAACCACAAACCAGGAAGGAATTGTTATGATATTTCACAGTTTCATACATTGCGTAGCTTAGAAATATGGCTTAGAAACGTATCTTCTTACCAAAGTTAAACACAAGTTTAATTTCTTTCATTCATTTGAGGAAACTGAGGATCAACATATGCTGTTTCACATGCTGATACTTTAAGTAAAATAACAAAGATTCTTTTAAAAACTAAACTCTCTTATAATGAAAAACAGAAAGAACAGATTTTGTTCCTTTGAGAAGATGGTTAGCTTACCTGGTTTTGCCATTCCACACCGACAGCCCGAACAATATTATCAGCTCTTCAGGTACTAATTCTTGCAAACTGGAAGGATATTTTCTCTCTTGCTGGATTAATAATCAACTTTCCTGATAGTTCATTTGTAATTCTCTGCTGGTTAACCCTTTGCAGGGCTCCCATTTTGAACTAAGCAGCCTACACTGTTCGGCTCATTGTAATACAAAAATAACAAAACATAGGCTAGCACACAAAGGAGAACTAAATAGCAATCTGAAGAGAAAAATGAAGAATAGATTTTMTTAAAAAACTAAAAGCTTACAAGTACTTAAAGCAAGACTACCTTTCTCTAAGAGACTCTAATTACTAATCCTAGTTGCTGGTAAAACAATTCATCAACAACCTGGGAGCTGTAAAGTCCAATGGCTCATACGACTGTGCGCTCCCATGAAGCCACTGCCTGACCTCTCATCTTCAGCCAGCAAGCATGACACACGCCTGCCTAATTCTGAAAATAACATCTTTTATTAGTGAATAGTGTGCTGAGAAATTGCCACAGTTATCAGTTTGTGCAAGGCCACCCATCTGTGTTGTCAGAAAGCAAGAGCAAGAGTGGCCAGGAGTAAAAATGAGATAAGAGAGGCCCAGAATAGCTAAAAAGGGGAGTTCAAATGAGGTCAGAACAGTTTAAGACGGGATACCTAAAAATTACATGTAATTTTATTTTTCAAGTGTAATAGTAGTAAATTACATACATGTTATCAGTTTCATAAAAATTCAATACAGCTATGGCAGATGTGCTGTGAAATGAGTAAAAGGATTATAAAACAAACCTGGTAAAAGGGTTTAGAGATCTCGTATAAGAATGTGCAGCATTCTGGAAATGCTTACCTAAAAGAATTAGTTTTTGGGGGATGTACGATGGACCTTGAGGTGTGCTTTGATTGTGGACAAATGTAAGAGAGGAAAGGAAAAATAAACTTGTTGCATGAATGACTAAGGCATAATGCTCTTAAAAAAAAGGAAAAAATAAGAAAGGGGGGAAAAAGGYCTTTGTGAAAAACAGTGAATTGGGTTTTTGGATGCTCTTGGAAAAATATAAGAGATGACAGCTCTATTCACTAACAGAAATGCTTTCCTCATGAACCGTGCTATAGCTGTTTTATTAAATAATATGGCAGTAGTTCTGCATTTTCCTTAAAACAAAGGCACAGAGTCTCCTAAAGCTTCTGCCTAGCACAGATGAGACTTCATCTACTTCCCTTTACATAAGAGTAGTTCTATAGCTAATCTATTTTTACACAACTATAGGTCTCTGCTCTATTCAGTAGCACCTAATTCAGTTTGCTGTAAACTTGCTGCAATATGTGCTGTAGAATTTATGATAAAATGCTATAAAGTTTTGAAGCAAATTTATTTCATATTTATGGCTAATTTTATTCTGTGTTTGAAGGAAAACCTTTTAAGAACGCCAATAATGTGAGAAAGCTCCAACTGAATTTACTGTTAAGTATCACATCAGTGGTACTCCTGGGGGCTTCTCATCATGGGAAGAAAGCTTAAACAACATTTTCTAACACTTTGGATTGCTTCCCAGAGATGTGATGGCCTACAGAGGCAGTGCTGAACAAAGCAGGCTCAAATAGTAAGTCAGTAAACAACCCTTTTCAAAGGATGGCCACAAATAAGTGCAACTTTGTTTAATAAAGGCGAATTATAGTTATCTTTTGTTCTTTAGTAGGTGCATTATTTTTCTCTCCTGTTCCACCTGACTGAACTGGTAGTATCTTTTCTATCACCTGACTGAGKAGTTGGCTGGAAATAATGGAACCAAACAATCCACTATTGTTATGAGAGACAATGACCTTTCATGTCCTTGGAGCTCGCCATGACCTTTCATCTTTCCTATCCTCCAATGGTCTCTTCTAACAACTAAAACTACACCCCGTTAGGCTGAATTCCAGATTGTCATAAAAAGCCCCTTCCTTTYGAAACAAAACCAATTTTTACACCAAGGTGGAGGAGAAACACAGGTCCATTGTTCCCGCACAGATGGAAGTTAGAGTTACTAAGGCAACAGCTCTAATCCCTCTTTTTACCACCTTTTTCACATCATTGGCCTATCAAGTGTGCTACCTTTTAACTCATAAGCTCAAAAGCTGGTAGTCTAACTGACTGCCCTAATTAGCTACGATTTTCACAGTACAGACAACATGATGAGCTAATCGAAATTTGCAAAATAATGACGTACCTCCAGCAAATATTCCTCCTCCTGAGGCCCAGTCTTAGAATAACAATAATGAGACCATTATTGGAGGAGGGCATTAAAATGCTGCACTGCTGCTAAACAGAGAACTTAATTGTTCTGGTCTTGTCCATTGAATCAACAACCTATTGTTGTGGACTTGAAAAATAAAGGACTGGAGAATGGGTGCCATAATGATTGGTCTGTGCTGCCATACCAGCACTCTGTAGAATTGTTTTCCTTTTGAAACTCTTGATGGACTAGTAGTTTTGTTTAAAAGTAATATAAAAGCCAATTGTCTGGATAAAAAGTCCTATTTATTGAAATCTTTAGAAGCAGTTGCATGGATTTGTTCATGACCCCCAAGATAAAAACACAGGGACCATAATAATGCTATTTGTGGCAACCACAGCTTGTAGTGACACTGCTTGTAGATAACACTGTCCTGTCTAGCTACTGCAAAAGGAAGGAAGGCATTTCCTATGCAGACAGAAATCATGGCAGAAGGTCAAATACTGGACAGACTCAATCTGTAGAAATGAGGAGGTTTTATTAAAAAAAAAAAAAAAAAAAAAAAAAAAAAAAAAAAAAAAAAAAAAAAAAAGAAAAAAAGGATGGCCTAATGTATTTGGCCATTTTTTATAATTCACGGTTTAGGACAAACTAATAAAGGTATCTCTAATCATTCACAACACAGGACTTTTTTTTTTTATTGATTAGTTTGTAAGATATTAAAAATTACAGACCTTCTTTTTTTTCTTCACTTCTATAAAATTATACCCTAAATTTTGTCATTGGAAAACTGAATAATATACATTGCAAGATGGAATGACAGCACTGATGCCAATTGTAGCTTACTATAAGCTTTGGAGAGTATTTTCATTTGGGACCAGGAGGAAGAGATATCTAAAATCTCTGGCATGCTTTTTAATCTTGGGGKTTTTTTTTAATTGTTAAGAAATTAGAAACTATGGCTTTTCACAAAATGTTTCAAAAAAACATGGTCTTGAGAAAAAATATTCTCCCAAATCAAAAATCATGGTTTTATTACATAAAACCATTGTTAATTATCACTATTCTGGATTCCTCTCTTAGCTGTCACTGCAATAGAACAGTTGAAAGCACAAAAGCAACAATAGATTTACACTTTGGAATTAAAAATAAAATCACATCTTACTGTATTTTTACAGTTATGTCTCTTAATGCAGCTTTCTACACCCAAACTGCTCAAAAATAAACTATGACTCTATATCAATATAAACAGTGAAAAATTGTAGAAGTTGGGCTCACAAGAGTGAGTACCCATTGGTAATTTGCTATTTCAATGGGAAAAGTTTAGGGTTTAATTTTTCTCATTGTTATCAACATATTGTAAAACAAAATGAGAAAAATAATTGTGAAAAGGGAAAGAAAAAAAAAAAAAGGAAAGAAAACTAGTTAAAGGTTAACCCAAAAAGTATTTTCAGCAATTCTAGGAACTGCTCATAAAATGTAGCTTTCTTGCATGCATTTGCAGAATACCTTTTCTTTAAAATTCCTTTTTCAAATTGAAAAATGCCTAATATAAAGTAGTATTAAATTGTAAATAAGACCTCTTACTTCRTTCAACCCATGCTTTCCTTCATTTATCTTCATCTTGTTAGGCTAAATTAATTAACAATCTCTGTGTTGCACACTTTCTCTTTTCATTACATCAAAAAATGGCCTGGATATGGGAGAAAACGCTCACCACAGGGATCTTGAAACACTACCTTGAGGAAGAGTCTCTTACAAATRCATTGCTTTAGCAATATTAACTAGCTGGATGTTATGATATTTATTAAATGGATCCTTCAATCCTTCACCACTTTAAAATAATTGTTCTGATTTTGTAAGAAACAATTTTTWWAAAAAAAAAATCAGGGGCTTGAAATAGATCATGTTTACAATTTGCAAGCCACAAGTACTAAAAACTAAATAGCTTTCATCAACGTTTTATTTAATATAAAAAACCTGCAACTTGAATACAATTTCTGGCCAACTGTGTGCACAGTCCCAAACATATTAATGTGTCAAATTGCTCAAACCGAGTTGCCATATCATCTGTTTGTGAATGTTCTGTTTATAATTAATTGAGTGTCTGGGACACTTTCATTGGCAAATCTGGTTATTTAGATACTGTAATGGGGAGCAATGTGCTAAACTATTAGGCAAGTTTTCTTCCTTTAACCTAAATTATGGCATCTAGAGCAAAAGGACAAAACAGTAAAGCCTTTTTTAATCTCACCCTGATCAAACAACCCTCTTTCTCCAATCACAGCTTTGTGCGTGATATCTTTCTGCTAGTGTTTCTTATTTAATTAAAACAGACACTGACAGAAGGACATGGATTAGGACTGTAATGATGCATTTACTTAGATTAATCGGAGGCTCCTTTTGGAGTAATGGCTTAAACAAAGAACAAAAGGAAATTGTTATGAAACAGCCTTTTATCCCAGGCAAAGGTCAAATTATGAGGTTTTTAATTTTGTCAGCTTCTGTTATATTGGACCTTTCTACTGGAACATGAGAAGTGCTTCTCTCCCCTTCTCCCCCGAGCCAAGCCAGTTATTATAATACAGCCATTAAAGCTGCAAATTAAAATGTCTGATTTTAAACCAGGTTGCTTAGCTTTCAAAACCCTCTAATTAGCATGTTGTGCATTGTTGTGAGGGAAAGAAACCTAAAATGCTAATGACCTGCTGCCAGGTGACCACACTGCTGTGCAAAATAATACAGACTCATTCAAGCAGTAGTAATACCCAGCTCTTATGAATTACCCAACTCCAGGTCTACTCTGCACCACATGCTTAAAGAAACAAGCCTGCATCCAGCCAAAGATCAGAGTTCAGCAGTCAGCACGAGAGATTGTTGTATGTTAACTGGGAAGAAGTCTGTGCCCATTCAGACACTGAGAGGCGAGAGAAAAACAKTTGAAATCATCACGGGCCAGGCGGTGCTCGGGCTGGACACAAAGAGCGTGGAATGGAAAATTCTTCCCCTTTTGGGCAGAAGCTACAGATACACTTCTGTAAATCTCAAAGGAGACAGGCACAACTTMTTGGGAAAAATTCTGCTTGCATTCTTTGTTCAGAAAGGGGCAGCAATGTATGAAAGGACCCCAAACAGAGGTATATTTTTGCCCTTTCCCAGTTTACCATTCATTGCAACAAGTTCATTGAACACACAAAATTAAGCTAAATCATGATATTTTCTTAACA